AGCGGTGGGCAAGTTCTTGCCAAGAATCAATGCTGCCTTCGGGCAACCGGTTGAACCACTCATACGCTGGTCCCTCCAAGGTGGAAAGGAACCAACGGCATAAGTATTCATCCGATGCCCCCACCATCATCATGCTGTTTTGGTAACGGCTATAGTGCTCTTGGGGATCCGTCTTCCCCTCATACGGCTTGATGGGTTGCCCCCGATATTTGTGGGGGATTTTGGCCGCCAACACCCTTGGGGTGAAAGGTGTTCTGGTGCGGAGTTGAATGAGGGGCTCGCCTGAGCCTTCGGCGAGCTTGCGCTTCATTTCCTCCACTTGCGCCCGGAGGTCAGCGTACTCTGGATCTGGCCTCGCTGTGGAAGCCGTCGGGGGTGCCTGACGATTCTCCTCGAGTTGACGGAGGAGGGCTTCAATGATTTCGTCCTTGGGATCCTTTGGAGCAACCCCTTGGGAGTTGGCCCGGAAGGATTGCGCCTGATTGATCTGGTGTCTGGCGTCATCGGCATGGAGGATGGCTTTGCCCTTGCTTCGGGGCGGGGGTATGCCCTCGGCTCCCGAAGCGGAGGCTCCGCTCTCCTGAGGTCTGCTGACTTCCTGTTTGCCGAGGCGGTCTTGGACCCCTCGGCGTATGGGAGCTCCCCCCAACCTCTCAAGTACAGAAGTTCGGGGTTTTTCCTTCATCGTGGGGCGTTTATCCCTGGATTGGGCCTCTTGGGAGGCGGTATCCTGTGCCATAACCCCTTCGGCGTTTCCAATCCCCGGGGGAGGATTGTTGAACAGAGGAGGGAGCGGTGGTAATTGAATAACATTCCCTCCAGCGTAGGGCTGGAGGGGTGCCTGAGAGGCGAGGGCTCCTGAATTGAGAGCCATGTTTTGAACAAAGGCCGCAAAGGCAGCCTGAAGATCGATGGCCGAGGCCGGAGGGGGAACTTGGTTCTCACTCCGATCCCTCCTTCGATTATCAAGGCCAATGCGGGCATCAGTGGCGTTCTTTTGTAGCTGCTGACGGAGGTCAGCGGTAGCCTGTTCCAATTCGAGGATGATACCACCCTCGGGCACTAAGAGCCTGTTGGAGGCCTCAGCCCCGTTAGTCTCGCCGGGGGCTACGTGGTTCTCCTCAAGGGTTTTGGATTGGGCACGGGTGGTTCTTCCCATTTTTGGTGAGTGTTTTTGTGTTTGGTGGAGGGGGAGGGTTTCTTACTTGATAGTTCAGACCTCTCAACGAGAGCACCAAATGATAGACGATCTACCCGGGGGGTATCTTATCCGAGGAAATGATGGACAATCTACCCGGGGGGTATCTTATCCGAGGGGTTATTGCGGAAATAACTTAGAGAGAAGTCAGAGCAAATAGGAGGAGAGAGAGTCGATTTTATTAAATGAACTCGAGATGTGGAGTTGAGATGTAGATTGTGTCTATTACAAGGAGAAATGAACTGCTATTTATAGCAGCAATAAATGCGACGAGAGGACACGTGTCAGTAATCCAACGGCCGAAGGGTCACATCAGCCTGGTGGCACCGGCAGCGGTACGTCAACCGCATTGAATGCGGTTGGCGGATGTGACGTGGCATTAAATGCGGTGGTTGGCTGTCTCTAAAAGGAATCTTCGATGATTGAGCCTGTTAAGCCGAAGGCTCCTTGTGTAGCCGAGGGCCTCTTGTGTAGCCGAGGGCTCCTTATGTAGCCGAAGGTTTGGTTCAGCCGAAGGCTTCCCCTGATGCCGAGGGCATGAGAATGCCGAAGGCTCATGTCTTCGCCCGTTTCCTCCCAGCAGCTTCCTATGCCAGAGAAGGCTATCCTGTGAGTTTTGGAGCCTTCGGCCAAGGAGGCCGAAGGCACCCCAGTGTGTATTCTGGGCTATTTTGAGGCTTGAGCCGTCGTATTTGGGCCTGAGATGTTCTCTGGGCTCAATGGACTTGTGTAGGAGAAGTAGGAGTCTATGGGCCGGGGGTTCCTGGGCCATATACTCCATCAGGGTTAATTGAACATTTTAAGTCAGTTCAAGGGCCTATTTGACCCTTTAGCCTTCTACAAACAACATAAACATGTCAAAAATTCAAAACACGAGTATTAAAATTTTATTTGAAGCTCTAATCACTTCAAACATCAAAGCTCAAATTTAACTAATGAACTGTGAACACTTAGTAGGACAAAAGCTGATTTAAATTTTCATGTAATAAATGAAAAAAAAAATCGTTGTAGTGTGGGAGCGATAGGATGAAGGTTACTCGTCATCATAGTAACAAGAATAGGACGCCTACTTCAAGTCTTTCAAAACAAAAAAATACATTGAGTTTGCATGTATAGATATATAAAAAAACATTATTACATTCTATTGATTCATAAAAAATCTATAATTAGAAATATCATGAAAATAGAAAAGTAAAATATGTGCAATCAACAACAAGTTGTTTGGGTTATTTTATATTTATAAAATTTATGTGATGGAACAAAACTTGATTTGTAGATGGAGTTTAATGTATTATATCAACCTCATGTACAATATTTATTACTTCGTTTCCATTGATTAAATTAAAATTGTTAGTTAAATACTTCGTATCTTATATTGTTTTATTATTGTTGTTGTGGTGGTGGTTATTATTCCTATTATATTACTATTAGTATTATTGTTTCCACTACTACTACTAATATTTTTTTTAATAACGGTTCCATGCACATATTTTTTTATAGGAACCAAGAACCGAACCGTTACAACCCGTTTCGGTTCGGTTCCTACAAATGAAGTATTAATTGTTAACGGTTTGGTTCCAATCGATTCTACGAATCCCGGTTCCAAAATCTCACCCCTACCTAAGGGAATTGACATGTTATACTATTTAGTATTTACTAATAAATGGATAGACACAAGCTTCCTTTTTCAAAGACATAACGACTTACCTTTTTTTAAAACAAAAATTAAGGGAATTTAATTGATAAAAGAAAGTAGTACAGAACAGGGCCGGTCCTGGGGCATGGGCAGGAGGGGCATGCGCCCATGGCCCTTTGCTCCATTAGGGCCCATAAATTTCTCAAATATATATACATGTGTGTGTACATCGATATTTTAATTATATATACAATAGTATATCCTAAGTCTATAAAAATTAAAAAATAAAATCAAACTGATATTTTTTTAGATATTCCCAATTCGTTATTCAGTATCTAGACGGTACAAGTCTATAATTTTGAAACATCCACATTAGAATTCACTGGGAACATATTTCACCATTTTTTCTTGAATCATTACAGGTTATTACATTAATTTTGATCTTTTAATTTGGTGTACTTCTCTTATGTACATCCCGAATTCATTGATATATTTCACAAAGTTTCTCTGATTCTCTCATTTAATGAAAGATTGAACTACAGTGTCCATAATATAGAAACTTAGAATTTGTTTTTGTGTAGTGAAAATGTGACTTAAAATTTGAAAAAGTTAGAAATAATTATATATGTGACTAAAATTAAGATTTTTTACAAAAATGTAACTAGTGACTAAAGTAATAATGAAATCATAGTAACTTATGTTCAATTTTTAAATCTGAGTTACTGTAAGAATACATTGTAGTAACAATTTGTCATATTTGTGTAAGTGCGTTTTATTTTAGTAATTTTTTTTTTGAAAAAAAAAAACCAAAAAGTTACTCCTTATACGAGATATAACTTTCACAACTTTTCTTAGTTCAATTTTTTTAATTGCACGTAATAGTTGCACTACTTGTTTCATTCGACTGCTTTGGGTACATTGTATCCTGGAATGTGACTTATCAAATACCCTCTATGTAATTTGTCTAACCATCTGCTTTGTTAGTTTTTTTATGATGCTTTGTTAGTATTTGGACGGTAAAATTGTATAATTTTTAATTATAGATTTTTATATAAAAAAGAACATTATAAACATTCTCGCGTTATCCCTGAAGCCTAGTCTACTTGTACTGTCCTGGGCCCATAAAATGTCAGAACCGGCCCTGGTACAGAATGCGAAATAGGGGTGGACTTGGGTCGGGCCGCCCGGCCTAGAACAGGCCCGGCCCGGTACTGTTTGGGTTCGGCCCAGACCGGTTGGCCGGTCTTCGGGGCGGTTTGGGTCTACTGAACCGCTCAATTCCCGGGACGGGCTCGGGCCTCCTAAAAGTGGAACCGGCCCGGCCGGTCTGGGCCCAGTCCGGGCCATTTTTTTGTTTCTACCGGGTTGGGCTGGGTGTTTTGGGTGGGGGGTGGAGGGGGGGTCGGGGGTTAATTACAAAAGCAAAAAAAAAAACATTGAACCGGAACCGGCCCGGCCCGGAACCGTTGCCTACCCGGGCCGGTTCCGGTTCTCCCTTCCCAGAGAAAAAGCCCGGCCGGGCCCAGGCCCGAACCGGAACCAGCCCGGCTCGGGTCCATCCCTAGTGCAAAAGGAAATAAAAGAAAAAACATTATAGAAAAGGATAAAACGAAAAGAACTAATCTAGACCCAGGGGAAATCTCTCGATTAGGACCTAGTCCTCATGCTGCGGCGCCTTTTGTTTTTTGATTTTTCCTGTAAATCTTTAGGTGCGTGTTCAGGTTATCTGTTGGCAAGACACACATTTTTTATTTTATTGATTTTTTTCTGTAACGACTTACCTTTTATACTACTCACATACTTTAATTTGAAAATGCTTTTTTATTATTTACGTATAAAAACACACATTATTAAGTAATGTCTGTTAAATATATACTTTCTCCGCCCCTTTTTATTTAGTCAAATTTGATTTTTCATGTCAATGATGTTAAACTTTGACCTATTATATATTTATACACGATAGTATTGATAATATGAAAATGATATGAAAATGTTCTTTGTTAAAAATACTATCATAAAAATATAAATTTATTAATTTTCACATAAATATATTAGTTAAAGTAATGGATCAAAGTTTCTCATTCTTGACTGGAAAACTCAAAGATGGCTAAATAAAAATGGACAAGATACTATAAATGTATACTTTTTGAATTTTCATCATCTTGTGTCATCTTCCACCACCATCATAGTCTTCCATATTTATCTTCTTTCATCTTCATTGTCTTCATTATATTTCATGTTCCGCACCTTCTTCATCACTCATATCTTCTCCGTCATCTTCGCTCTTATCCTCTTTTACAATAGGAAAAAACAAATAAAGTTTATAAGTTAACGAAAGCCGCAGGAAAACAAAAGATGAACATTGCTTGAAATTTTTGTTTTGTGTCGGCTATAAAGCATTGTCTTTGTCGTGTTGAATAATGACATAATTTTTTGTAGAGAAACTGAAACTGAAAAATCAGAACATTTTATAAAATTTTGCGACAAAAAAAATATATACAAACACTGATTTTTTCAACGCCAGGATACACAGACAAAATAGTTGCATGGAAGTCAGTGTTAGGTTGCACATGAACCAATGTTCGTGTACACAGAAAAAAATGTAAAAGTACATACATTTTTTGCGCGTATACAGACAACTCATGTCTGTCCACATACATTGGTTTCGTTCAATCAGACACACACCGTTTTTCAAAAAAAAAAAACACAAATCAATGTACATATATTAACATGAGTTGTCTGTAATCAGTATAATGACATTTATTAATTTATCAATTTAATTTCTTCACACAAACAAATTTTAACGAAATTTAAGACGTCACAAACAAAAATTCCAGCACCCGGTTTGTTTTATGGCGACTCTCCATCTGCGATTGTTTTTCTAATCTTGGAAGATGATAATGATGTGGTGAACATGGAAGATGAAAAAGATGAAAGGCGATGCAGATGGAAGCCTAGTTAGCTTTTCCCGTTTTAAATGTGTTTTAAACACATACTGTTTTTTTATAACAAAAAACACGTTTAAAACGAAAAATAATGTCGGTCCGTTTGGAAAGGAAAAAAAAACTCCTACTTCCCGTATAAAACGTATATTTCCTGTATTTTACAAAAATAGAAATATGAATTGCTCAATTGAATGAATACATTAAATGCATATGGGATCAACAATAGTTTAAAAGCATAAAGAAAACCTCCTCCATGTGACCCTGTGTTTTTGTATTGTTACGATACAATTATTAAATACTAAAATTAATTGCATGACGGACGAAAAAAGTAAAATGAGACAAAGTTATGGGGCGGAGGGAGTACTAGATTTTTTATGTTATTCCAAACAAGCACATCAAAATTAAAGTTTTTCTAACCCTGCCATTTTTTAGTATAAACTTTTACACATACACAATAATAAGCGCGTGTAGCAGTCGCACAACTTTTCTCATATGTCATCCATCATTTTGATGAAAATGATGACTTTAAATTGAGTGTTATTTGATGATCATATAAAGATAATGACTTTAACTTAGTCTCTTTCTATTGCTATTATGTCTTATTTGTTGACATTAGTTTGCAAAATTATGTCTTGGATTTAATTACTATTTTTATTTTTGTCATCGACATATGCAATTACAAATTATTCTTTTATGTAGTAATGAGATTTGCTACTTGAATATGTGTATGCTTTTATTTCTTTTTACTACATATGTTATTTTGTGAAGTGTATAATTTAAATGTTCAAAACAATACCACATATTTTTGTCCAATTTTTTTGTCAGTTATATCGTATTATACACGTATGCGTATTTACACGTTTTTTAAAAGTTAACGCTTTTTCAATGAATTTTGACTGTTTTTTCATTAATATTATCGAATAAAACGTGTACGTATTAAACCTCGTTTTATTCATGTACCGTATTTAACTAACTAGGGATAGAAAATGGTCATGAAGATAAAAGATGATGGAGATGGTAAAAAGATGATGGAGACGGTAAAGATGATGGTTAAGCTAGTACGAGTAGGAGGGATAAGGTAAAGAGAGAAGAGAGAATAAGAGGAGAGAGAAGATACGTAAAATCAGGAGAGTTTATATAGTGTAGGATATTTTACTTAGATTGGAATTTTCTGGTCTAGTCTGGTCTGGTAAACATCTAGTCTCTGTGTATTTATAACTATCCAAGTCTGATTTGGTCTGGTCTGATCTAGTCTAGCCTGATCTGCCCGAGTCAAATATGTACATATTTTGTGTACTCCAATAATGATTGTAAATTGAGTGACCACTTCTCATCAACAAAGTTGTTAACCACTTAACCCTATGTGACATGGGTGGAGACATGGGAGGCTGGAGGGGGCCTCACCTCCCAAGGAAAAAATTAAGATGTACATTTATGTATAAATATTTAAAGGAAATATAGTAAGATTTTAAGGTTTGGTTTCCAAAACATATATTCTTTAAGGCTAATCCCCCTAACCTATTATTTCTAGGGATGGACCCGGGCCGGGCTGGTTCCGGTTCGGAAATGGACCCAGACGGGCTTTTTCTATGGGAAGGAAGAACCGGAACCGGCCCGGGTAGGCAGCGGTTCCGGGCCGGCCCGGTTCCGGTTCAATGTTTTTTTTAATTTTCTTTTGCTTTTGTAATTAACCCCCCCCCCCCCCCCCCAAACACCCAGTCCAACCCGGTAGAAACAAAAAAAATGAAAAAAAATGGCCCGAACCGGGCCCAGACCGGCCGGGCCGGTTCCACTTTTAGGAGGCCCGAGCCCGCCCCGGGAATTGAGTGGTTTGGTAGGCCCGAACCGGCCCTAAGACCGGCCAACCGGTCCGGCCCGGGCCCAAACAGTACCGGGCCGGGGCGGTTCTGGGCCGGGCGGCCCGACCCGAGTCCACCCCTAATTATTTCCGACTCTGCCACGACTAATAATCGTATTTGTCACCATAGAATTCCCCGAATATGTCACCGGATGTCTAGACTTCAGAGAATAATAAAGTTGATGCCTATTATGGATAGTGATTGGACACTAAGTGTAGAAGTGGTTGTAAGAGGTCACAGATGGTTACTATGGTTACTGTTGAAAGTTATGTTTGCAAGTTGCAACTATTGCATAGAGCATGGAAGAGGGGTAGTGTGGTTGGGTAGGGCTGGGAAAAAACTCCCGACTCCCGACTCCCGATCCCGATCCCGACAATCCCGATCCCGATAATCCCGATCCCGACAATCCCGATCCCGACTAGTCGGGAATTTTTCCCGATCCCGATTAAGTCGGGACGGGACCGAGATTTTTTTATAAAAAAAGTCAGGATCGGGAAAATCCCGACATCCTGACATTATACACACACATGTATATATAATTATATATGAATACATAAAAAATGAATATACATTTATAAAAAACATGAATATGTATCTAAATATTTGCATATCTTTTTTAATTACTTATTCCTTACATAGATTAATCTTTTATTACGAGTATCTGGGATCTTAACTAAATTTGTCCGAAAATGAATATTTGGGATCTTAACTAAATAGAGATTATTCTTGATCCCGACAATCTAAATCACAACAATATTACAAATTTTGTGGTTCTGATGAACTCTTTAAAAAATTATGATCAAGGCTAAGATTTCTTTCTTTAGTAAATAATCTATTTATACATTATATTCACTGGTCACAAAGTTTCTCAATGAGTCTACTTCGTTTTGAATTTTAAATAATATGCATTACACATCCTTCTTTTAGTGATTTTTATAAACTGTTTGAAGTAAGTTTTACTAAGCCTTGATAGCTTATTCAAAAATTATACTATTAGTTAATTGAAGTTACAAATAAAAATTATTCTAAAAGTATGTACTAGTGTGAATTTGAGAGGATAATTATTACAATAAACTTTATAAGTAGATGACGATAAATATGGTATAACAATGAACAAAGAATAATTTTGAAACTGTTGAATATCAAAGTTAGTGTTTAACTAAAGAAATTATATAATTTTATGTTTGATACTTCATTGTCGGGATTAAGCGGGATTAAGCGGGATTCCCGATCGGGATCCCGACTTAATCGGGATTTTAATGTCGGGATCCCGACTTAATCGAGACGGGATACGGGATCCTCTTGTAGTTTGAATCGGGATCGGGATTTGGGCAATCGGGATCGGGATCATCCCGATCCCACCCCTAGTTGGGAGTTGCATGAGAAAGAAGGTGATTTAAGAAAAACTAGAATTGATTTAGGTATTTGGATAATCAATATTTAGATAAACTACAATTTTTTCACAAGTGTCGATGTCAGCCGGGTTTATAATATAGTTACAAGTTTGTCTTAAAAAAGCAGGAAAATGTTCTTTATATCTAATAAGTACTTGAATTAAGTTATAAGTACTATTCCAACGAATAAGACAAATCTTTAGGAAAAGCACAATATTGACACGTCTTTCCTTCAAATATTGCCGCCATTGCATTTTTAGTGGAGTGTTAGCCCAAATCAATTTAATTTCCCCCTTCACTACCTCCAAAGCATTTCCTAATGCCGCTAATCCATCTTGTACACACAAATTTAGAATATGACATACACAACGTTGATGAAAAAACCTACCCATCAATGTAGAAGCACCACCCAATTCACGCAATCTAGGTATAGCAGCAGTATTATTACTAGCATTATCAAAACCTACAGCAAACACCTTATCAAGCAAATTATACTCAATTAAAATACGCTCAATGAGAATATAAATATTATCAGCAGTATGACGATCATTGAATTCACGAAAAGCAAGAACACATTTATGCATATTCCAATCATCATCAATATAATGTGCAGTAAGACCCAAATAATATAAATGATGATAAGTATCCTCCCATATATCGCTACAAATACTAACACGTCCATTAAAGTTTGCGAAAAATGTTTGTAAATTTTCTTTTTCGAAGTTATATTGCCTTATAACTTCTTTTTTAATCGTTTTGCGACTATAATTTCTAAATTGAGGATTTAAAGTACCCTGAGCATAATCTCTTAAAGCAAGACTTTCGGAAAAAATATAGGGTAAATTTTCTTCAACAATTAAATGAGACATACCAGTCAAATGTTTTTGATCATCATAGGAGAAATTACCAAAGGGTTGAGAATTTGCAAACCTCGATATTTGTGTTTGCTTCCCCTTGCCCTTGTCTATTTTCGCATACTCCACAAGATGGGCGGACTTAAGATGCCTTGTGAGACTCCCGTATCCGCCAGAAGTTCCCAAACTATACTCTTTGCCGCAATGATTGCAACTTGCGTACCATTTTTCGGTATTTTGTCTTTCCTTTTTGTAAAATTGTTTTCAATAATAGGAGATTTAGATTTCTTACCAGTTTGGGTTGAACCGCCCTCGTCCTCCAAGTCTTGCTCATCATCCGGGGTGCCGTGAGTCCCGTCGCCCCCCGCGTCCTCCTCCGCATCGTCATCCTCGAGCTCCTCTTCATCAATGGTTGTCGCCTTGTCGGGATGTGTTGTTCTTGTGCAAAGCGTGGATCGTTTTGGGACAATAGGTTTTGTAGATGCTCGTCGGACATCATCATATCATCTCTCCGTTGGTAATCCATTTCAAAGTCATCTCGACTTTGAAAAGAAGACTCCGCCCGCGCTTAACCTTTGCCTTTGCGTGAAGTAGGACGAGTCGACGCAATCTCCCTCTTGCGGTTGCGTTGGAGATTACCCACATCTACAGAATGTCTACCACGCTCCATGTTTAAAATTGAACAAATATTAAATGATATCAAATATTTTATATGAGTACAATAGTAATAATAAAATGTGACTAAAAAAACTATAGCAAATTCGAACTAAAATATGTGTATAAAAATCGAACTACTTCTAATTATTACTTTAATGAGAAATGTAGCAACTAAATAATATGAGAAATGTAAAAATTAACTAGTTTTTTTTTTACTTTAATGAGCAATATAGCAATTAACTAATATTAATATTACAAATTTAACAATTAACTACTTTAGCTAGTTTTTAAAATGACAAATGTAAAAATTTACTAGTTCTTTTTACCTTAATGAGAAATGTATACTTTAACTAATATTAATATGACAAATGTAAAAATTTACTACCTTTTTTACTTTAATGAGAAATGTAGCAAGTAACTAATATTAATATGAAAAATGTAACAATTTAGTAGTTTAACTAATATTATTATGACAAATGTAAAAATTAACTAGTTTTTTTTTTTTACTTTAATGAGCAATGTATCAATTAACTAATATTAATATGACAAATGAAACAATTAAGTACTTTAACTAATATTAATATGACAAATGTAAAAATATACTACTTTAACTATTTTTTTTCTTTAAAGAGAAATGTAGAGAAATGTAACAATTAACTAATTTAATAGATAAATGAGAAGTCTAACAATTAACTACTTTTATAAAATGTATGAATGTGTATAAGTCTATATAGTTTATATAACTTGTAAATGTATTATAAGTAATATATAATATAATGTTTATAGTATATAATATATAAGTATATTACTATAAGATGAGTAATACACTTATACTTAATACTTTAATATATATATAAGTATATATTAACTAAATGTAATATGTAAATATAAGTAAATAACAATAGTATGGATACAAACTAAATATCAAATAAATATGAATGTGTATAAGTATATATAGTATATATAATGTGTAAATATATTATAAGTAATATATAATATAATGTTTATAGTATATAATATATAAGTATATTACTATAAGATGAGTAATACACTTATACTTAATACTTTAATATATATATATATATATATATATATATATATATATATATATAAGTATATATTAAATAAATGTAATATGTAAATATAAGTAAATAACAATAGTATGGATAATAACTAAATATCAAGTAAATATGAATGTGTATAGTATATATAGTATATATAATGTGTAAAGAATTATAATATGAATGTGTATAAGTATATATTTATAAGTAGATAATTAATATATAAGTAGATATAATAATTATATATATGTAGAAAGAATTTGGAGAAGATGAAGAATGAAGATGATTGAATATGAGAGATTGAGAGTAGAGAATTAGAGAGTAGGAAGAGTTGTAGAAGAAGAGGTGTAAAAAATGTATAGAAAATAGGAGTATAAATAGGTTTTTTTTGTATACCCCACCCCACCCCCCTAACCCCCCAGACCCCCCCCTCCTATGCTCCCAACGGCTATAGAGCCGTTTGGGAGCTCTCCCAACGGCTAGAAGCCCTTTACAAATCAAAACGAAAAAAATTAAAAAAAAATTGACCGTTGGAGGCCCGAACTGGGCCCGGCCGGGCCGGTTCACTAAACTGGAGGCCCAAGCCCGGACCGCTATACCACCGGGCCGCTATACCACTGGGCCGGGTGGCCCGAACCTGGCACAAACCGGTTCACCGGGCCGGTCCGGGCCCGCACAGTAGCGGGCCGATCCGGTTCCGGGCCAGTTGGCCCGGCCCGAGTCCATCCCTATTTGCCAATGGTACAAAATAAGATTACAGCATGAACAATAATGCCTGTTTAAAAGCTAGAGTATTTAGACTTTGTTTGCAATCACTTCTGCTTAAATAAAAGCACTTTTGGAGAAAAAGTGATTAGTAGTAAAAGTTGGCAGTGTTTGGTAAAATAAGTGCTTTTTGTGTAATAGAAAAAGTAAAAACTAGATTCTACACGGAAGCCGAGAAAGTAAAAGTTGGTAGTGTTTGGTAAAATAAGTGCTTTTTTCTTTAAAAAAAGTTAAAAGCACTTTTTAAATGGGTTGCAAACAGACCCTTACAGACACAAAATAAAACTCAGATTGATCAAAACAACCAAAATTTGCATCTTTAAAATAACCAAATATTGCATGTACACTACTGTATCATCATTAAAAAATGTTACATAAGCATAAAGAAAGTGATCACTTGGAAACGGCCACAATTGTCAGTTAACATTTTACAAATGATGTCGTTCCAGAGAGAATTATGAGAACAAAACCATCAAAATCATAGTAGTCAATGGCTAGATATGGTGCGCACCATATGCACCATCGCCATGAAAAAGTGGTCATCGCCATAGCGCCATATGCGTTATATGCACCATCGCCACACGCCATGAAAAATGCCTTTGAGCCATGGCTACTGCCATGCACCATGACTACTATAATCAGAATCAAATAGAAGGAGGATATTTCATCAATTCTATAATAATAATATACATTAGACCGACAGAAAAAGGTCACGTGAATCAACCAACCAATTGATCATAAATCAAGCTTTGCGGACTATGATTCTACGTTCACGTTTGTATTCAACCTCGTCTCTTTGATGCATGATCAGCAACGCTCTTCTTACCTGTCCTCGAAACATTATCATCATAAATTTTCATCTAATACTCAGAAAAGCTTTCTTCACTAATCACTCGTCAATATATATGTGTGTGTATTGGTTTCGTTTTCGTTTTCATTTACCCCAGTGCCGCAAAGGCTCTCACCTACAATGGGGTAGGGGGGTCGGATGTACGCAGTCTTACCCCTGTACTAAAGCACAGAGAGACCGTTTCCGGATGACCCATAGTGAAAATCCCGTCCAAAATTGCATGGACTGACTGCTGCTTCATAACAAAGAAACGCAGACAGTTTAGTAAGCTATTTTGCTTTATTCCATCATATATATAGGTTTTGGTTCAAACAAGAACATGATCTTAGGAGAGAAATGAGAATGAATCTGGACAGATAGATTTGTTTTAAATCAAATTCAATGTGCATTAGATCAAACTGTAATGTGCATTAGGTGAAATAGAAATGTGCAGTACAAATGGTATGACACAGTGACACTATGTGAAGCTGAATTGTGCATTAGGTGAAATTGAAATGTGCACCAAGTGAAACTGAAATGTGCATAATAAAAGGTACGATGTGATGTTATTTTTGTACCTTTTATTCCGCACATTTCAGTTTCACCTAATGCACACTTCAGTTTAGATTTTTATTCTGCACATTTGAATATCATCGAATGCACATTGCAGTTTCATCAAATGCACATTTCAGTTCCACATAATACAATCCAACAGTCCATATTCATTCTTATTTCTCTCCTGGGAGTCCGTTCTTACAGGAACCGCTCCCTATATATATATGCAAGTATATATATATATATATATATATGTATATATATATATAGAGAGAGAGAAAAAAATTCATGTCCAGCCGGCCTGACGAGAAACGCCGTCCGGCCGAGGGCATTTAGGGCACTTCCCGGGTGGAATTTTTTGAGCATGTTCTTCATGAAGTCTAGTTTATCTATACCAAATTTCAGCTAAAAATTCAATCGGGAAGGCACTCAAACAATTTCTTGAAGTTAACTGGGCAGTTCATACATATAAACTGCCCAGTTAACTTCATGAAATTATTTGAGTGCCTTCCCGATTGAATTTTTAGCTGAAATTTGGTATGGATAAACTAGACTTCATGAACAACATGCTCAAAAAATTTCATCAGAAAATTCCACCGGGAAGTGCCCGAAATGCCCTCGGCCGGACGGAGCATCCCGTCAGGCCGGCTGGACAAGAACGGGACTCTATATATATATATAGAGAGAGAGTGGTCTTCTTGTCAGGCCGGCCTGACAGGATGCTCCGTCCGGCCGAGCCCGTTTGGGCACCTTCCCGGTGGAATTTTTTGATGAAATTTTTTGAGCATGTTCCTCATCAAGTATAGTTTGTCCGTACCAAATTTCAGCTCAAAATTCGATCGGGAAGGCATTCAAATCATTTTTTGAAGTTGACTGCGTCAAAGTATACATATAAAACTGCAGTCAACTTCAAAAAATGATTTGAATGCCTTCCCAATCGAATTTTGAGCTGAAATTTGGTATGGAC